TATAAACCTCCCATAGTCATTGATTGAGATGCACAGCTATAGAAATTGAATAAATAAAAATTTAATGTTTTTTGTTGACACATTATAGAGGGCTGCCATATTATTGTTTTATATTTATTGCTATGTTTGACGTGATTGATATCCTTATTTATTTATTTATTGTAAACCAATAAGCTAGCCACTGTAAAATAAGTAATCTATTTTTACATTGAACATGATTCATCGTACGTATATTCTCATATCCTAATATATAAATATTTATTCAGGAGATTTAGTACCTGCCTGATTCCAAAATGATTCTGGATGGCCTACATCAGACATGTCAAACTCGTGACGTCGTGAGACACATTGGGACTGTTTTGCCATTGCTGGCAATGGGGTGGGCGAGGCTTCTGGATGACCCGTCTGGCCTGTGGGCCGGCAGTTTGACATCCCTGGCCTACATAAAAAATAAGAACAGAAAAATAATAAAAAAAGACAGCTCAATGCATCTTAGCAATGCATCTTCTCTAACAACAAAAACAAAATCACCAATAGGATGCCACAAACTTCTGACTGGGAGAGACTAATTTTTTAAAGATTATCAGCATGGAAATGTGATAGATCTCTGGGTGGATATCATTATCAGATAGCAGATACCGTGACAAAGAAGGCACATCTCCTGGGTCTTGCTAGATCAGTGGTTCTCAACCTTTTTAATGCCGCGACCGCAACTGGTCGTAAGTCGAGGACTAAACCGGTCATAAGTCGAGGACTAAACCGGTCGTAAGTCGAGGACTACCCAACCGGTCGCAAGTCGAGGACTTTCCCTGCCCGGGAGCGCCGCGCATGCGTGGTTCCGCCCCCTGCACCGGCCGAGGCGTAGCTGGCAAGCGGCAGAGACGGAGCAGGCCGACCACCAGCTGGCCCAGCCCAAGGGAGGTAAGGCACCCGCCGGAAAAGGGGAAAAAATGGCGGACAAAAAAAATGGCGGACAGCCTTGCTTGGCGACCCCCATGAAATCGTCGATCGACCCCAAATGGGGTTCCGACCCACAGGTTGAGAACCACTGTGCTAGATGGCATTGTTTAATTGAAAGGATCCAACATGCAACTCTGCCCAATCTTACTGGATAGGAAAGAAGTATGGATGATAGGGGTTCCCTCAAATAACCTGGCCCTACAAATAGATAAAGAAGTTGTCTTATTTAACACTAGAAGATGGGAAATTCAGAATATAAATTTGTATATTCAGCTCAAATATCTAAAAGTCATTTAAATGAGACTTTGGGTTAGGCTGCATTTCCTTTGGGGCTCACTGAAGCCTTCATTGCCATAGAATAGATTCTGAGTGAGGCAAATCCTTTGGGGAACTTTCTTGATCCATGATACCTTGCTGAATAGGTGCATTTCTTCTCTAAAGAGACAAATCAATAAAGATACCGAAGACTGTGGTTTTAATCAGAGAAGTCCTTTATATTATATCTGTTTCAGGCTTGTCTTGTAACTATTCTATATTTTTTAAGGTTCAGTATTTGATGTATTTTTATGATTTTCTTAGATCTTAACAAATGAACTGAATATTATACTCAAGAGTTTAACCGCCATCTAATATGGATGTTTTAATTTGAATTCCCAAACAGAACTGTTTATTTGACCCTTGGCCTGAATGATCCCCTCCATGTTTTGATTCTATGATTTTGTTTCAGTAGGACTTAATTCAAAATCAATATCTGCACTATAAATCAGCAGTTACTATCATACATTTGATCCAGACTTAGTTGGAGGCAGCTCACTAAGTAATGATCTATTGTTCTGCAGGCTAAGATAGTCCAACAGTAATATCAAAAGGGAGTGTGATGAGACATGTTCATGAATGTGTGAGAATCCAGTTCTAGCTGTGGCTGAGCATTTTGTGAACTTGCAGATCTGAAAACAATAATACTTGTTTGACAAGGCAACTTAGAATTGAGTGGTTGTATAGCACAAAGCTGCTATAATCCCACAAATGGAACATATATTCTCACAAATTATGAGCATGTCTCATCACATTCCCTTCATGACCCGAGGTGATGGGCAAGTTAATTGCATTTTGAAGCAAGACTTGTCTAGCAACTGGAAGAATTGGAACCGATCTTGCCTTATCTTGCCTTTGATTTAGTGTGCTTTTAATGCTTAATACATGCTAGCAATAGTAGTTCTTATATATTATTTTCTTAGGAGACAATGTTAAATTGTAAAGCAAAATAAACAAAATTGAAAACTTTAACTTGGCTCTATGTTTCCTGGTGTAATTCTGTAAATATTTAGTTTCTGTTTTTTGTCTCTACCAATCAAGTCTATAAACTGTGTTAGTCATTCCAATGAATAAGCAAATGGAATCCTGTGTATTCTTTTAATGCAATTGTAATTTCTTAAAGACTAAATTGTACTATATAAATAGTACTATGAAAAAGTTATGGGACATTTTTTCCCTAAAATTTGTATAAATTTAATGAAGAACTAGCAAAACTGGCTTATGCAAAACTAGCCTAATGATGCCCTAATCGGCTGTGAATACTTTTTGTGCAATATTTGAATCAAAATATTTAATACCTGAAGTTATCTTATTTATCTGCAAATATAAAACTCTTATGTTCGTACAACATCATCACTATATAATGTGCAGTGATGTTACAAATGATGAAGTAATCGGGATGGACAAGCAAAGGCTATGGATCGTTATACTAAAGTTTCACAGTGAAAATTGATGGAGGTCCATTAAAGAGAGAAGATGGCAGAGAAGTAACAGGCAGTAGAGAGAAAGCAGAACTCCTTAATTCATTCTTTGCATCAATGTTCACACAAAAAGAAACTATAGCCCAGCCTACCAAAAACCTAACCGTAAAAGACAGATTAGAAATAAAAATTAAAAAAGTAAGAAAATGGTTAGAGAACACCTATCTGATCTTGACAAATATAAATCACAGGGACTGATGGATTACATCCCAGAATTCTGAAAGAGCTGGCAAATGTTGCCTCAGAATCATTGTACTATATCTTTCAAAAATTCTGGAACACTGGAGAATTACCTGAGATTGGAAAACAGCTGATCTGGTTCTCATTTTCAAAAAAGGAAAGGAAAAAAAAAGAGTCAGGAAACTACAGACCAATTAGCCTAACATCAATACTTGGGAAAATACTGAAAAAGGTAATAAAAAAACTGATCTGCAAACATCTAGAAACTAATAAAATTTGCAATAATGGTGAATATCTGTAGTTCAGGTGTAGAATGAAGGTGAAGGTTCGTTTTCCGAGCTTGGGTTGGTTTCCGAACATTTTGTTATCAAGCTAGGTAACATCTTCAGCGGAGTTTAAGGGATATCAGTGTGAGTGTTCTGTTTATAAGGGCTTCAGGTATGGGTGTGTCAAGGGAAGGTCTTGTGATGGGTCAGATATGAGTCAACAGTGAGAGGCTTGTGATGGGTCTTGTGATGGGGAAGTTACATCAGGTCAGGGTCAATGAGAGGTGAACTGTTGGGAAAGGGAGGGGGGTTGTGTGGGTTGATTGAGGGTCGATGCTGTCTCTGGCCGGCCATGCGGTTGATTTGGATTCTGTAGGGTTCGTAGGCTGGTTGTAGGTCGATGTGTCTGTTGACTGAATTGCTTGCGAAGTGTCAGGCTTCGATAAACTCAAGAGTGTGGCAGGTGGTGGAATGGCTGATGATTTTAGTGTTGCTCTAATCGAACTGGTGTTGTTTGGTGTTGATGATGACAGCCAGAATTCTACAACCTCTAGGAATAGCAATAGCCCACAAACCCACAGCCACATTCTGCCAGGAATTATCCAAAACTAAAGATAAGATACAGAAAGATGAAAGAAACAATGTCATCTACAAAATAAACTGTAACGATTGCAATCAATTCTACGTGGGACAAACATCATGTCAATTAAAAAACAGGATTCATGAACACCAGCTGGCAGTCAAATGCCACGATCCCAAAATCTCTACCAACACCAATTCGATTGGAGCAACACTAAAATCATTGGCCACACTACACCCGCCACACTCATGAGTTTATCGAAGCCTGGCACTCCACAAGCAATTCATCAACAGATACATCAACCTACAACCATCCTATGAATCCTTCTGAATCCAAATCAACCACACAGCCAGCCAGAGACAGCACCAACCTTCAACCAACCCAAACAAGTCTCCCCTCCTCGTCCCACCAGTTCACCTCCCAATGACCCTGACCTGATGTAATCTCTCCATCACAAGACCCATCACAAGTCTCTCACTAATGACTCACACCTGACCTACCACAAGACCCTCACTTGACACACCCACACCTGAAGCCCTTATAAACAGAACACTGACAATGACATCCCCTAAATTCTGCTGAAGATGTTACATAGCCTGGTAATGAAATGGCCGGAAACCAATCCACAAGCTCGAAGAACGAACCTTCACCCTCACAAATAAATTTATAACTAAAAGCTAGTACGGATTTGTTAAAAACAGATCATGTCAAACCAATCGTACTTCATTTTTTGGCAAAGTGACTAAATTAGTAGATCAGCGAAATGCTATGGACATAGTATACTTAGACTTCAACAAGGCATTTGACAAAGAAGGCCACAACCTACCTCTTGGTAAGCTAGAAAAATGGGATAGAAACTATCACCACCAGATGATGTGTAACTGGATGACAAAACGTACTCAATGAGTAGTCCTTAGTGGTACTACATCTACATGGAGGGAAGTAAAAAGGGATACCACAAGGTTCCGTCTTAGGCCCAGTACTCTTCAATATCTTCATAAATGACTTAGATGAGGGACTATAAGGGGAAATAATCAAATTTGCAGATGACCCTAAGCTGGCAGGAATAGCCAACATTCCAGAAGACAAGCTCAGGATCCAAAAAGATCTTGACAAACATGAGCAATGGTCCTAACCAATAAAATGAAATATTTGGTGGTTATAACAGATTGATTCCCTAGTATAAATATAAGATGCTCTTGAATAACTATAACAAAATGAAGAAGAATAGCAACTTTATATAAAAATGTGGATCAATCCAAATTTATACAATATAACAGGCTTATCCAAATTAGATATTTTATCAAAGCTCTACACTTTTAAGTAACATATATTTTTATATTGGAATTGTCCAAATTTTAGGAACATAATATATTTAATATTTTTCTAGATTAGAAGCTAAACCAAATTTGGAATAATTAGGAATAACATAATGTACATCAACATTATCTCTTAACAAAATTTCATTTTTAAAAACTAAAGTTTAAGTAAATTAAAAATTACAAGAAGCAGTAGTAACTATACTATTAGTTTAATATTGGTAATGCAATTAATTGTCTACTATAAAATTACAGATAAACAGAAATGTTAAAATATCATACAAAAGTGGTTTTTAAAAATGACATTCCAGAACCCAGATTTAAGACACTAAAATCTTCATTCCATTCTTAAAAAACTTATTTTACAGATTAAATATTTTAACTTATATTTTAAAATTTGAAAGACTATGCAGGAGAATGCTATACATGATTATTTAGCTTCTTTTTTAATTGTTTTCCTCTGTATAGGTATTCAAAGAATTGCTTTTTGAAGTAATAAAATTTTATATCCTTTCCCATTTTGATATATTTATTTCATTATTTTCAAAGAAAACAAAGTAATGTAGAATTTCATTGCATTTCATATTAGCGGTATATTTTCAGTGATACTGAATATGATGTTTTTGCACTATTCATTTACTTCTGAAAATATTTTGTCTGGAAGTAGTTTCATCAGAGTATTGATATTCAGAAGTCACTCAATTTTATAATAATCTCAAAACAATCTTCAATCTCTTTTAAACTTTGTCTAAACAGCTGTGCATGTTGCCAAGCAATATTGCCATCTCCTCCACTTAGTTCAGCTTCTAAGATAACATTTGTTGTGTTGGAAATATCAGGATAAGAATGAAGCCTTTTATCTATGAAATGGAAACAAAAAAAAATCCTGTTAAAACAATTTTAATAACAATATATATATAAATAACTATATAAATATGTTTATAAGCTCTGCAAACTATTTATTATACAATAATAATAATAATTGCTTAGACCATTTTCAGAATTAGACCATCTGATGTACATTACACATATTTGGAAACTGGCATCTGTATGGTATTACTATTCCAAAAATTATTCCAGAAAATGAGTTTAACTAGTTGCCACAGTCTCTATAGCAGGAAGTAACTTAGAAAATTCAAAACATATATCCTTAAAGAAAAGGATCAAGTTGCACTAATGGACCTTAATACAAAAGATATGAGGAAAAAAAACTCATGAAAACTAGAAAAATGTTACAGAACACCCCTAGCAATTTCTAAGTTTTTGTACAGTTACTTCAAGAGAAAAGATTCGGATGTGGAGAAGAGGGTCAAAGAAAGTTCAGAGAAAGATGTTCTGTTTTACTGACACTACTTGAAAATACCTGATCAAAAATTAATTTATAAGATAAGAGGGACAAGCAGAGATCCTTCGTTACCTACTCAGAACAAACTGAAATAGGTAGGAAAACCATTTTAATGTGTATTTATAAAATGTAACTAGGCTAAATTAAAATGTCTGATTTAAACTATAGCCAATTAAAAGTTGAACTCAATTATTCATAAAAACCCTATACAGGTGGTCTTGACTTACGACTATAATTCAGCACAAAATTTCTGTTGCTAAGTGAGACAGTTATTAAAGGAATTTTGCCCCATTTTACGACCTTTCTTGTCAGAGTTGTTAAGTGAATCACTGCAGTTATTAAATTAGTAACATGGTTGTTAAGTGAATTGGCTTTCCCATTAACTTTATTTGTCAGGTCACAACAAGTGTAAATGTGACACACACACCCAGGACACTGCAAACATCATAAATATGAGTCAGTTGCCATGTTTCTGAATTTTGATCACATGACCAGGGAGATACTGCAATGGTTGTAAGTGTAAAAAACAGTCATAAATCACTTTTTTCAATGCCATTATAACTTTGAATGGTCATTAAATGAACTGGTGTAAGTCAAGGACTATGTAAATGGAGCAGCATGGATTTTGCTCTGCTTAAGACCAGAGAGATGCTGTAGCACCCTACGCCTTTTTCACCCCATCTCACCCACTGGGTCCCCACATGGACTAGGCCTGCTTTCAGCTTTCAGACACACTTTGTTAGTTCCTTCATCAATCACTTACTTACCTTTTACAGTAGCTCTTCTTCTGGAACCTCTGCAGATTGCACTGGGGAAGAACAACAAACTTCCATCCCTAAGCCACCTGGCCCAGAGCAAGCATGCTTTTGGGAGCAGACCAGGGATGGTAGCTAGCAATGCAGCTCAGCAGTGCAGCCTAGTATGGAACATCTCTCTTCTTCTGCAATGCCTTTCTTTCTAGCCCAGGCATGCTAGAAGATGTGGGAAAATCAAAGTTTCTGGGACAAAGCTTTTTCATTTTTGTTTTCCTCCTTTCAGCTTCTAGCCTCTTTTTCTAGTCTGGACACCTGAGATGCTACAAGTTGCAGGAAAGAGATACTGAGACAAAGCTCTTCTACCTTTGTTTTCACCCTCGCAACATCTAGCCCAGTGATGGTGAACCTTTTAGAGACCGAGTGCCCAAACTGCAACCCAAAACCCATTTATGCATCGTCGGGTGCCGAGTGGGTGTGGCCCATTGGGTGGGTGTGGCCCATTGGGTGGGCATGGCTGCGGTGGTAACAGCAGACTGGGTGGGACTAAAAAGTTCAATCAATCAATTCCAACTTTGCAAGATTTTTTTTTCCCCGCGAGAAGTTGAAATTGATTGATTAATTGAACCTTTTTTTTTTGTACAGGGCGGTGGAGGCCTAAAGCGAAAAGGTTTTATAAAACCAAGCTGAAGGCCTAGGACTGGGGCGACGGCGCGCGTGCCCACAGAGAGGGCTCTGAGTGCCGCCTCTGGCACCTGTGCCATAGGTTCGCCACCACTGATCTAGCCTCTTTTTCTATCCCTTTGTTATATTTTCCCAATACTTCTTATTAGCAGACAGACAGCTGTGTGGCAGGCATGCGAGCGAGCTAGAATCATTGGCGAAGGAGAGATGTATGCAGTTGCCTTTGCCAGGTCCACCACTGCCATTCCCAGGACAAAAGACAGCAGCAGAACCTGCAAAGGTAACAATGTCCAGCATTGTCCTCCAATGCTTCTCACACAAAGGTTGTTGTGTGTTGTGTGAATACAAGTGAGAAGCATTAGGGAAGAAAAACAAGCTGCTTTTTTTCTAGTACATATTCCTTCATTCTGGAAGGACCACCCTTTTCAAGCACCCTTAATTCATTAGGGCCACTCTGAAAATGCCAAAGATGGGCAGCTTGTTCTCATTGTTAGTGTGATCTATGGAACTTGCAGATGGAGATCTATGATAAAAGATAAGTGAGCAATGAGTGAAAGATGGGGAGGAGCATGTGGGACCCTGAGGGGGAAAGCAGAGCACAGGTGTTCAGAGGGTGGGGGTCGAATTGGGAAACTTCAGGCAAGGCCTGTACTAGATCTCCCAGAACCCCCATGCTGGTTCTGCTTAACAACCATGCATTCACTTAATGATTATATCTGCAGAGCAGGGATAAAGGTTGTTAAGTGAGGCAGTTCCAACTTTTGACCATAGTGGGCAGGTTCCATAATGACTGAGTCAAGGACTATTATACTGAGCAAAAAAATAGTAACTCTTGAGACAAATATTGTTTTTTGAACAAATGCAAAATTATATACATTTATTTGTAACGTAACTCAGGGATGTCAAGCTCATTTTTATTGAGGACTGCATCAGCATTATGGTTGCCCTCAAAGGGCCAGTTGCTGTCCCCTTCTCTCCCTCAGGCTTGCCCCACCGACATTGCTCCTCCTTATCACCTCTTCCCCCCACTCCTCATCCTTCCACCAAAAGCCCTCCTTTTATATCTTCTCCTCTGCTCCTCCATGGGTTAACTCAATGTCCGGCTGGCCTTTTCATGCAGCGCTCATCAGCTGGAGCTGTGTGTGCTGATTCTGGAGTCCCCACCAAGCCCCAGCAGCCCCACAGCTTCAATTGACTCTTCCCCAAAGACACCTGAGGCTGCTGGAAGCACCGATCCTGGGATCTCAGCAGAGCCCCAGCAACATCACAGCTCCAGCTGACTCTCTGCCCAAAGACTGCTTGTGGCTGCCAACCATACCTGAGTCCACCAAAAGCCACGATCAGCTGGAAATGCATGCGCCGATCCCGGGGCCTCAGCAGAGCCCTAGCAACACTGCAGCTCCAGCTAACTCCCCCCCCCCAAGCCTCTCTGGTGCTTCTGCCACTTCAACTCACACACACAGCTACATATTCAATCATCTTCTTCTACAAATCTGCTTGTGAGCCAGATCTCAACACATCACGGTCAGATCTGGACTGTGGGGCTTGAGTTTGACATGTCTGATGTAACTCTCATGGTAACAACACAATCCTTTGGTTATGTAACCAGAATTAAATCCCACTATATTCAAATATTTATGAAATATATACAAGAATTCCTAAATTTCTTTTAAGAGCTGTAACTATTAGAGGAGAACGTTGTAATTCCCTTTAGCCAAGGCTTCTGGTGCTTAATTGTTTGTGATTATATTTTTCTTGTGTTTTCTTTTGTTGCTCTTGCATTTTGGTTTGTGGCCGCAAAATAAAAAATTATTATTATTATTATACGAGAATTCAGCTACAGGTTGGCATCAGATTCACAAATATAGTTAGAATTACAATATAAACCAAGAAAATTTGAAGTTCCAGCCTCTGATGTGTTAGTAACTTAACTCTTCTCACACCATTCTGAAAAATGAAACATTTGGCTTGTTTTGTGTTTTATTAAAAATTAATAAACATGATGTATTGTTAGCATTGGATACTCCAGTCTACATGATCACAACCTTAATTGTTAATATTTTTGCACTGTTGTAAATAGTTATTAAATATTATATATACCTCCATTAACACCAACTGCAATGCTTCCAGAGTGCAGCGTCCACTTTACTCTTCCACTCTCAAATGTTTGGTTGGTTGTTCTAATGGAAATGTTGTCTATTTTTAGACCAGCAGAGCCACATTCAAACTTCCAACAGATGTAGCCAGATGAGAAGCCTTCCTTTCGAGCTAAATAAACCTAGTTAGAATGACAAAAAAAAAAGTGATGTTAACCATTGAATTGCAGTGCATTAATATTGTGATATTACTCAACTTAATACATAATCACTTCAGTGATACCAGTGAAATCTTAGTTAATGATGCTGCTTCTTAAAAGTACAAACCTTAGTATATTTAGTATATAGCCTACTGTTATGTGTAGTTTACTTCCTACCAGTAGTAAATGCTGAGCATTCATCCTATTAAAAATAATAACTTCTAAAAATAATTCTATATATAACTTAGTAGAATTAAATGTTATCTTATGGTTTTACAATAAAATTCATATGCAGATAGTTTTATGGACTATTTAAAGGTATTATGCTTTACCCCAAATAATACTCTACATATCTGCAAGAAAATAAAACTGCAGATATTAAAAATCTATCTGATTCTGACATACAGCAATGAGGCACATATGTCCTAAAATATATTCAGATCAAGACTAAAAGGATAATGGTTTAGTCCCTTGCTTTGAAAATAGTATTTGTTACTATCAGCTTTAATTAAGAATCTTGTATATCTGGAGCTGCACAGCTGAACTAGATGCCGCATAGCACAGCACAAGTAAGATATGTTTTGGTTAGAAAAGATATTCTAAACTGATATTATTGATACTATTAGAAAACTGTAACAAATGCTGATATTCAATTGTATATTTATTAACAACAATAAGAATTGTATTTGCTTAGTGTGGAAAAATGTCTATTACCGGAAGAAGAGAGGATGTATTGGATGGTGTAATATTGATTTTAGTTTGAAGAAGCTTATATATACCACGGAATTACTAATGGACTCAGTCATCACGTTGTCTATTAAGCACTTGATTGTAAAAATAGAAAATTAATAAAATATTTATAATAAATAAATAAATGTTTATTTAGTAAGGTCATACTGCAGCTATAGAGGATACCCACTAGATACCCAGAAAAGACTCAACTGTTCTAAGGAGCTACCAATTGCTGCCATATGAGCCTCCTGCATGCATACACCAAGCACTTTTTCCCTTTAAATACGAGTCATGGGCAGCCCTATTTTAGAATAACGGTTTTTTACTTACCATTTTCCAGTCTGATTCAACCTTTCTCCCTAAAGAATGCATTTTCCAAACGCCATTCTCCCAACCATTGATTTTTTCATTATTATTTGATATTCGAGTGTAACAATCTTCCACTATATTATAGCTGAGGTGAAAAAGCTTGGAGGCTTTCTCTTTTACAGTTGGAATAAATACTATTTCTTTAGTCTAAATAAACAAACCCAAAACTTAAAGTTAGTTTCTTGTTAGACATTTAATAAACCTCACTAATAAATAATACGTATCTGATCCAAACTTTTTGTATAATATACAGTCATGTAAAAAAGAAAGTACACCCTCTTTGAATTCTATGGTTTCATGTATCAGGATATAGTAGAAATCTTCTGGTCCGTAGCAGTTCTTAAAAGTAAGTAAATATACCTCAGATAAACAACACACATGACATATTATATCATGTCATTATTTATTTTACAAAAACAGAGCCAAAATGGAGAAACGGAAGGAGGAATAAATTTAAAGATTGCATGCATTTTGTGTGGTTTTGTCAGGTATACGTTGTTTTTTTTTACTAGATCGGTACATCACAAATTTTTAAAAAAATGTAAAAATAAAGGCAACTACATTCAGATTCTCATTAATTTGAGAAATGAGGTTAATAATGATAGTGATAATGATAATGATGATGATGATGATGATAATAATAATAATAATAATAATAATAATAATAATAATAATAATAATAATAATAATAATAATAATAATAATAATAATAATAGTTTAGTTGGAAGGGACCTTGGAGGTCTCTAGTCCAACCCCATACTCAGGCAGGAAATCCTATACCATTTCAGACAAATGGTTGTCCAGTCTCTTCTTAAAAACTTCTAGTGTTGGAGCATTCACAAGTTCTGGAAGCAGGTTGTTCCACTGATTAATTGTTAATTAATTAGTTGATATTAACAAATGAACCACACATTTTGCTAACATGCCTAGAGGCATGATTGTACTTACAGTATTAATTAATTAATGCTAATATTATTTTTAAAAATCCTTTGTATTTTAGTTGCTTATAATTTTAATATCCCATTAATAGGAAGTTGAATCTAATCTAAAGATAAATAAGTCTGCTTTTCTCTGTTCTATTTGCTGCTAAAATTTTGATGAGATTAAAACAAACTGAAAAACTAAATTACAATTTTGGGCTGAAATAAATAGGAAAAATCTTTGGCAACTAAAATCAACAAAATATAAGTATAATTAATTTTCTTTGAACACACATCAAACCAACAAGCCAGTTAGAGCTTACACTAAGAATTCTAAAAATTGCTATTAGATGCTATAAATACCTCTAAAGCAATTTCATCTCTGGCAACTCTCCAAGCCAATGATCCAGATTCTCTTCCACCAAATTCTCCTGGCTTTGGTGTTTTTGGAGAAATAAACTCAACAAGCTCTACTATGAGTCTTTGTAAGAGCTCATTTTTTCTTGCCTCACTCAGTATTTGCTGCCTCTAGAATCAATGACAACAATAAAATTACACCAGAATCTTATACCTGTGTATTCAGAGGCAAATATTCTCAGGAAACTGAAGGATCAGAATCTGAATTTCATTGTAACAAATCATGATATAAAAATAATTTATGATAACTTATTTTATATAATCTTAGGTATCAGCTGCAATTTGTATACTGTATATATATGTAGGTACGTACATATTATTAAATTTGTACGCTATTGAATCATTCACATAGAACATACAATAAAATTAATTTTAATTAGCATTAATATTAAAGCAGTTAAATATGAAGATAAAAATGTTTGAAATATTTTAACAATGGTTTAAATCATGCTGTAATGTGGAGTCAGATAAACCGGCAATTCTATTTACAGGTAGTTGCCAACTTATGACCATTCATTTAAAGACTGTTCAAAGTTACAGCTGATTTTAAAAAGCTACCTATGATCCATCCTTGAAGCTATGACTTCCACCCACCTTCTCCCTGCAGTAATATAATTGTATTCAAGCCACTTGACAACCTGCTTGCATTGACACATGTTGTAGTGTCCTATGGTCATGTGACTGCCATTTGCAATATTTTGAGCTGTTTTCTGGTATGTGTTTTTTTTCTGACAATATTTTCAGACACAAATGTCCCCTTGGGAGAATGGAGTCGCTTAACAACCCTGTAATATGCTCAATGAATATATGATTCACTTAATGATTGCAGTGACTCACTTAACAACTGTTGTAAGAACAGTGGTAAAATTGAGTCTGATCACACAATTCCTCCACTTATGACTGAAACATAAGTGAAATCCCAGTCCAAATTGTTTTTTTAAGTTAAGCACTACCTATAATTCTACTGCAAGCATGACTACTGGTGAAATCCTATGTACTGTATGTTTATTTAAAAAGTAAAATTCCATTGAATTATGTAGGATTATGTAGTATTTCTCGATAAGTGTTAGGGTTAGGGCTATAAAGCACAGAAGTTCATTATATATAGCTGTTTTAAAAAAACTTTAACATTAACTTGGATTTATACTATTTGAAAATTTTATTCTGAGGTTGGGTTATTTGTGTACTGTAATGAAGACAAAACATTAAGAAAAACATATTTGGATGGATTAAAATGTTATTCCATACTGGTAATCCTTGACTTACAATCACAATTGGGACTTGAATGTCTGTCATTGACTGATGTGGTCAAAAAGTATGGTGTCATATGATGACATCACTTAGAAATGGCATTTATGACATTCACCGATGCCATAGTTAAGCAAATTTACCAGTTATTAGGCAAGGACCCTCTCCAAACTAAGCCATTCCAACCTTGGCACCTCCTAGTTCTGAACACTGGTTCTTCCAAGTAAGAGACTGCCTCCCTTTCAACTCTCTACTACTGCCTATTCCCCACATCTCTACCCTTTTGGTCGTTCTACATTCCGTCTTCCAAGGCAGCAAGCCATCCTGCATTCTGCTGCCTCAGTTGACCTTCACTCTTTTCTTGCGCCTGCTGCCATTAAGGTGTGCCCAGCTGGCTCTTCATGAGGTAGCTGTTGACCACATGAGGCCATCTTCACCAGGTCTTGTGGAAAAATTGCCATGCAAAACCTTGTGCAGCGAGCAGCTGTGGCTCAAACAGCATAATTGTTCAGCAGGCAGAGTAAAGATTAGCTAAGGAAGTAGGAGCCTTGAAATGCAGGGGGGCTAAAAAAGCATAGATGGGAAATGCCAAGTGCCCAAATTTTGATCATGTGACCAAGGGCACTGCAACAGCAATAACATCAGACACTGGCTTTGTCCCTTGGGACCACCAAACTTTGAATGATTACTGAACAAATGGTCCTAAGTCTATGATTACCTGTATTACCTGTATGAATGTCTGTCCTTGGAATATAAGAATTAATGTTGTGAGTAACACAATACTTGATAGTTTGATTAAAAAGGTTAAATTCCTAGTGACAGGTGTTTTGTTCTATTAAGCATTACACAAGTCTGTACTAAATCAGATCATTGATGAATCAATTTAAATCACATGAGCTATCAACAAATCTATCTACATATACAGCATACTATTTGTTATAAGTTTAATAATTGAACATTTCAGAGGAGTAAATTATTATTTTCATGAAAGCTGCCTCTAATTTTTTTTACTGATAACCCTAAGAAACAAAAAGAGAACAGCCATCATCTTCAGAGAGCAACACAGACTCCAGCAAGACTTAACAGATATAAAGAAATTCAAAATTGCAAGGTCTGCCAAAATTGGACTTGAATGGATAAATCTGAAACACATACAGGCAACTCTAAATGGAATCTGCTAAATAGATATCTTTCTCCAACTAAAATTCCCTGGGGTGGGAGAGATTTAAAAATCCAAGAAATTTACATAACAAAAATCAAGAACCTTGATAAGGACTTGAGGGAAGAGAGATAAAAAATCTGACTCTGTGAAATAAAATCTGTAACAGACAATGTATGTCACAACAGGCTACAAGTCCACATAGTCCTCTTACTCTTTTCAAAGAGTGCTATGTTCAGTTGTGCAGCAGCTTATCACTTATATGGGGAGGTGTGCAAATTTTTTTCTTGCCATCACTTGTAATTTACATGCAGCTAATTTTCCATACACAAATAGCACATGTGTCCATAAGTCTTTTATATCCTCTCAATTAACTGAATAGCAACAGGTTACTTTTCAATATTTAATTCAAGACTAATTTGAATTCAACTTTTCTGTAAATTTAACAGATAATTAAGTTAAAACTACATACAATTTTGTTAAGATTATTGATTGTTTCTCGTAGCACAGTTTCTTTGACCTGTGTCCTTCTAGAAAGCAATTCTTCATGTTTACAAGAGTAACGCCAGGTGACATCAACAATCTGAAAAGCACAAATTATGAAAGAAAATACCTTTACAATATGATAGAGAGAAAATAGACTGAATTTCAAGCATGTTAAGATTAGAAATATTCCAATGAAGAAATAATATCCTTCTTGCTGTGCAGCTATACAACTGCTTTATCAGAACCAATGCTACAGCCAGAGCTACTTGGAAGGTCTGTTTAATTCAGTAAACACTGTTCACCTACCTCCTCTTTAGAAAAGGCAATAATATAGGACAATTTTTTCCCCCATCCAATCTCATACAAAAGGGGTTTATCACAGACATTTTCACAACAGTCGCAATGAAGCCATCTTTTCTGTGATACAGAATAAACTTCAGTCCATACATGATCTGATAAAAAAGCAGCAAGCATTAAAAAAGATTGTCAATTTTAGAATGCTGAACTCCTCAAAGAGAGATTTTTTTTAGAACCCTGCAGTCTTTTATTTAAATTTCATTTGCTCATTTAAATACATACCCTCCCCATGTTGCATCATCAAGATCACTTAAAGAAAAAGCATGATGATATTGCCTAACTGTAGTGACGACTCCTGACTTAAGACTGTTAAGAAAGGAGATTAGACAAATACACAAATAAAGGTATTGATTATAGTATTAATCTTTTTCTCATTTTGTTCCTTTCCCTATACATTAATAGATTTCAGGATGTAATACAATTAATACAATTGTATTTTTTGCTAAATTGGTAAGTTTATTTTGCTAAGTTTGTTTTAGCTAGATGATTTTCAAAAAGAGTAAAAGACATCTAAATAAACAGACTGACTAAATAACAGTTACGGCAAATAAAAAGCTTGTTATTTTCTTTGAACTACCTTCCCAAGGATTCCATAACTACAGTTCCAACAATATGAATACCTTCTTGGTTCTTTTAATAGTGGGCCATAGAGAACAGTCCCCTTAATAGGTAAATACTAAAGAAACATCACCTCAAGCCACAGGTTATAGACTTCTCGCTGTGATCTGATAAGTCATGTGTGTGTGTCTCTGTGTGTGTGTATAGGCTCATAGGTTCAGAAAATTCCATCTTTCTGATTTTCAACCTCAACCATAAACCTGTGAGTAGAATGGGCTGAGAAAATGATCTCAGAAAGTTCTGTGGATGAGGCCTCAAATTGGATATCCCCAGTTCCTAACAAACTCCCTTAATTATCATACACTGCTTATCAAATATAGACCAACTATCTGCTTCTTTCCTAGATCTAATCTTTTGGTGAAAAAACTTTTTTACTACTTGCCTTTCCCAATTCCAAATTTATGAGTCTACCTGTGTCTCCAAAATAATTTCTTTCATTTCAGAAACTCTCTTAGTCAAGATGATAGGTGTGTGTGTTATTAATAATAAATGTATTCATACATGAAAATTTAAGAGGCTACACCAATTCTGATGCAGGTTACAATTGTAAACTCAGTGGGATTTAAATAAATAGGATTGCACTAATACTATAAACTGTAAGTCATTAAAATGGCACCTGAACAGCACTATTGATTAACAATTTCAGAATACTTATGGAACATTTTGCAGTTCTGATTTTAACATAAGGTATTCTAAAACAGCTATACCTGTTGCATCCCAAATGTATCTTGCTTCAAATCCTACTGCTCTACAACAAAGTGTAAAGCAATTAGCCCATTCACCACAACGGCCTTGTCTAATTTCCAGGAGCTTTTCAGGATTGTTGTATCTGGAAACATAATTTTTTAAATATGAACTTTTCAGTTATTACTATAAGAACCAAAATAATGCAATTATCTTAAAAGTTTCCCCATAACTATCAGTAGCTAGAAATTAATAATAGGTCAAATATTATTATATTGAAATTTGTCTTTTGAATTATTACATCCAAGAGTTCTTTTAGACAGTCATCATGGTACTTTAATTTGCTTATTTTTCTTTCTTATCACTGTTTCTTTTGTGTCATGTGGAACCCCCAAAAAACACTTTATGACTTAAATAAACATTTTCTGAATAATTATCTGAATAAACCCAGATGTATAAAGTCCTATTACTAGATTTCTGATTAAAATAAAACCTACAAAACTAGGACTGATATTTTAATATTTTAAATTTATTAATAGCACTACTGCTCAACTCCAGATTTTGTAATAAATCTTGAAAATCTGAATGACAAACTTCTTTTGCTCACCAATATAATTTAAAAAGAAATCAGAAAGAAGATAAGGCACATATTCTACTCTAAGTGATAGCAAAGAGCAACTAATGGTTGTTGTGAGCTTGCATTATATATGGAATTCCCAATTATGCAGATTGAAATATAAATGAGATCAATATACTAAATTAATAATGTCTAATACAAACTCAATTGTTAAAGACAATTTACTAAACTCACCTTGGGAACCTGTTGCTGAACTTGCATTGGTTACAGAAATGATTTTCAACTCTACTTGCATCCCATCTCAGGTCATCCTCGTTAGGTGACAAATTATCTTTAGTTTCTGTCTGTCCCCCGCATTTGCTACATGGTAGGCTATCTACCCACTTGAAAAAACTACATTTAAACCAGTTGATGAGCTCCACCAGAAGAATATCCTCTTCTCTCAGAATACAATCTACACATTTAAAAAAGAATTAAAATTAAAACAGGCATCCAGACATCAAATTGGAATAACTATTTCAGGAATTACACAGAATTAAAATGAAAATAATTTTGAAGGAGCACCAAGAAATAGTAACTTTATATCAAATGTGATATAGCTTCTATAATATTCTTATATTTTAGGGAGATATTAATTGGGCATTTGAATCTAAGACACACATGGCTTGTTCCTTACTGACTCACGGAAAACAAATACAGTAACTTTAAAGGTCTTGGATACTGAAAGAAATTTGTCATAAATCCAGAGTCAGGAAATTGGAAATATTAGCATTCTATACATAAATATCAAAACATCTTCACTGCCATAACCAACATAGAATCAATAGGATGACAGATCTTGAATACTTACATTCAAGTTCTCAATTTAGAACTTCAACCAAGTCTTATTTAAATTGGGGTTTTTTCTATCTTGAGATGCAACATTATGGCAGTTAATCTGAAGGTACCCGGTACAAAAAAAAACAACTTCCAGTATAACTTATCAGAATTATTTGTAAGTAAATTAAAAATATTTGCTGTACTAAATAAATACAAATCAGGGACAAAAATGACCACCTTTAATAGAATCATAACAAGTGTAGTGGAAATAACTGCATAATCCTCTAAACTATCTTTGTTTTAGATTGCATAAACACAGAGCTACAATTCTTACACATACATAAAAATACACAGCTTTATAATCTCTAAAGCTATTCCAAAATACAGCTATGACAATTTTGTTTGTTAACAGATGAATGCATTTATATAGTAATGTTTTGTTTGATACTGTCAGGTTTTAAAACTATTCAGATATTACCTCTGTCCAGTTTTTGGGCGTGTGTTAATTTTTTCTGAGCTTGCTTTTTCAGATTTTGGAGTGGAATATAAGCCAAAGCTTTCTTCTGTAAAACTGGATTTTCATATGCCATTACGTGCAGAAAATTTGACTCAAGTGTCTTCAAGAAAATTGATTCGGTTGTCTAAGACGAAGAAAAAAAAATCTTCTCATTTCAATTGTTTTAAACAGAATATCTAGGAACCTCAGATAAATTTATTCTTTTACATAAATGTTCTTAAATCTGATGACTCTCCAGATATATTCTAACGATTTAGATTTCAATCTGTTTGGGGATATTGGAAGTTATGGTCCTAATATATTTGGGGATCAATGATTTTAAAAATGCAGTTTGAAATGTCTCAAAAAGAATGTTTGCACTATTATTAGAGGTTTCTTCACATACTTAAGTAAAACAAGTTCAAACAAGGTGTTCAAGCATAAATATTCCTGTTGTTCAAAATCAGTATATAATGTAAAATACTTGGGCGTGCTTTTTTAAAACATGGCATGACTTAGGAATAGAAATAATATTAGCAACCATTACAAATTTATACATTTATGTCAACTAACATCAGATTCCAGGGCAGAATATAGAAGAATTGCAGAGTGCTTGATACTCTCTGAGCTCAGATGTTTCATAACCAAATTAGGTAACATAATCCATGCTAATAGGCAGTGGGGTTTGCTCTCATTTTATATGTTAGTGGCTTGCCCTGTCAATGTTGGTGGGAGTGGTCTTGATGGTTCCTTGATTAGAATGTTCTCTAGTGCCAGTTTCTTGGTCTCAGATGATGTTATTAGTTTGGTAATGAAATAGTAGTTCACCCTTGAGCTACAAATGTTCTTTTCTATTGATATATATAAATAAATAAGCAGAATATATCCAGATCTAAAAGGAATAAATTAATTTCTAGTGTAATAAACAATCACAAGCAATTATGCAGACTTTTGCAGTCACTGATGGGATTATGAAAATGTAGGTATGTATGTCATTTTTTTTTACAAAACATTCTTTTGTTCAGCCTCTAAGCTCCTCAGAGATTTTGAAGGAATACTGGCTGGCCCATTCATACCTGACAATGGATCACTTGCTGCTTTCTGATATTTCTCAGGATTTATTTTAGAAGACATTGTAAAGCATGGTAGATATATTTATGACAGTACATTGAATCTAATAACTAACTGTCCAAAATATGATGTTACAGTATCTTTTCGTGAGAAAAATAAAGTACCCATCCCCTCTTTTCTTTATCAATTGTTCTCTACACAGTCTCCTAAGGTATTTTATAAGGAAAGGAAGTGGAACTCAGACCCAGATCGCCACATCTTCACACTTTAGCACAGACAAATTTTTGATCTAGTGTACTTTTAGAATATGTATATCTTTGAATAATCAGAAATATTAATATTTACCAGAAGGCAAAGGTTACGTATACATTTTTATGAATGCATGTTTCTATATAAAGCATAGGGAGGGGCACATATGATCCAGATATATCCACTAACCCAAATTGCCGACTAGATCATTCACCCAATTTGGAAGCTCTAGCTGATTCAGAGATTGAAAGCATCAATATGATCAAGTCATCTTCAAAGTAAATTTCCAAATACTCACATAATACTCAGCATGATTATATAGGCAGAAAATAAAAATAATTTCAGCATGGTTTGCAAGTATTTTATAAAATATCATGCAAATGACCTTAAATTCACTATAAATTTTATTTGCATACTATATATTATGTTTGCAATCATACTTCATTGGGCTGACCCTTGGAGACTAAATGCTTATATAAAGTTTATATATCTATATCTATATCTATATCTATCTATCTATCTATCTATCTATCTATCTATCTATCTATCTATCTATCTATCTATCTATCCATTTTATATAAGCACAGAAAGTAATATTTCTAGGAATTGCCATATGAATTACATTTCCATTTCACACTTGTTTAAGTCTTTAATTTACATTCCCAATTTCAAATATTATTAATGTTTAATGTAACAAACTTTAAAATAGGTTACCATGATAGCTGACTGAATATCTGTGTCTAATTTGGTATCAGTAGTATGCGTCGACTGAAGAGCAGAAGGCTGTGTATCTTTCCAGAGGATCCTGATCTCATTTGATCTGATCCATTTATTCAGCTATTCTTTCCTTCAGCAATTAGATTTCAAATTCTGCACAGCTGCTAAATTGATGCCTCCTTAGGAAAAGTAAGATGAATTTCCCCCTGAAATTAAAATTACAAAAGCAAAATCATCTATATTAAAAATAATTTTGTTCTGAATTATACCATCTCTTCTAGCCTGGTAAAGGAAATGCATAAATAAAAATAAATAAAAAATATTCTTGCCAACTATAGGTAGTCTTGCTCAATAATGATAATTGGAATTTCCATTTCTAATTTCATTAAATGATGTGATCATAAACTAAACCTCATGAGACCACATCACTTAGTGATGACAATCCCAGCAATCATTGTTGCCATCTTTCAGCAAGAATCAATGGTTAAGCAAGGATTTCATGTGACTGTTATTTGTGATCTCCTGCCAGCTTCCAACAAGCAAAATCGATGGGGAAGTTAGCAGAAAGTCTAAAGTCCCAGGTGGCTCACAAACAGGCCATGATTAGCTTGTATGTGAATATACAAATTATAATACAATCTAGAATGGCTGAATATGGCATACATGTTTTTCACCAGAAGGATAGATGTTGGCAATCTTAAAATTTAGATTTAGATTTTAGATTTTATTAAATTTATACCCCGCCCTTCTCCCGGAGGACTCAGGGCGGCTTACAGCCAGTTTAAAACAGTAATACAATACAAAATTTAAAAAGATTAAAAATAAATATTTAAATTTGGCCGCTTCTACTAAAAATTTAATTTAAAACCCCTTTAAAATACCCCTAGGCCAGTCCTGCCNGCGCGGCGGAAGGAGGGGAGATCCGGGATCACCCGGATCTCTGGGGGCAGCTCGTTCCAGAGGGTGGGTGCTCCGACAGAGAAGGCTCTCCCCCTGGGGGTCGCCAGCCGACACTGTCTGGCTGACGGCACCCTGAGGAGGCCCTCTCTGTGGGAGCGTATCGGCCGGTGGGAGGCAATCTGTGGCAGAAGGCGGTCTTCTGCCACAGATTGGGTAAGTTTACCTTAGCACATAAAGACCAAACTAGAGGCAAAATACCTTCATTGTAGTGGATGAGAATAATGAGATGTTTCAAAAGAACCAAGTAAAATACTTCTACATGGCAATTTCAAGGTACCTACAGTACCTCTACAAATCCCATTTCAGACAGGCATTCAACAACTCCTCTGACAGCCAATAATATAGTAGAAAATGCTTGATTCTCAATCCAAAGAGATCAATATTTTTCTTCATTTGGGTGTCTGATTAGAGTGAAAAATATTTAACCATTTTTTTTGTAAGATGTGCTTATATTTTGAAGCCAAGAACATTGTTCTCATATTTCAGTAACAAATTATGGCTGTCTGTGACCCCATGTACCATAACATGACTCTTTTAAGTTCCATAGATATGTCCTCTGGTTTCACAATTCTGAGATATTATTAGATAAATAGTAAATAAAGTCTGTAAAATGATTTAGACCTTTTATTGCTTATATTCACAATTACACTACATGATAAATCAGTATTTTTTAAGGGAACATAGCTGGGCTAATCACATTATTTTGCCATATTTTGCAACAATTCCCTCTATTCTCTCTTATGAGTGTTTTTAGATAAAGAAAACCTACTCATAGATACTCACACATTGATCAGCTCCTGGATACATTATCTTTTATACTCCCTGTCAAGCTGTGAAGCCTATTAACTTTAGGACCGGTGCATGCTTCTAGCTTGCCAACAGTGTGGGAAGGGGAGAGGGGAAAGTTTTGAATCCACAAGGGTTCCTTATTAATGTGAGAGCTGAATTGTTTTAGCAACTAAAGTTTCTTCTCATAACAATTACTGGAAGATATATTGGACAATGTGACCTGAACTGTCAGAAAGGGGAGAGAAAGTTTTACTCTTTTAATTATCTGTTTCCTGCCATAGTTTCAGAGTTAGCTTTTCTTCAAGCTTGCCGGATTGTTTTATGACTAATAAAGTTAACATTGGAGTTCATCATACCTCTAGTGTTTTGCTTGGTTGGGCTTTTCAGCAGGAATATGACACTGCCTATATTTGAAAATTCTTTGAACTGGCTTCGAGTCAAGATGGCTAACTGACCAGTCCAGAAAGCTCTTTCCAGACCAAAGCTTGTTCAATTTTACAAAATAAGGAACTGAGTTCTATAAGTTTATATCAGTCTCCTGGGTTGAGGAGAGCCTCATAACCACCCCACAAGATCCTCCATACAGCAGTGGTCTGCAAGAAGACTCTGGAGCATCACTTCAAAGAAACCAAGTGAGCTATTTAGCTGGGTGCTGTTACTCTGTTGTGAAAAAGCAGTCATTTTAGAATTTATTTTTCAAGTGGATAATGTTGTCCCCTTTTAGACATTGTATTAGTTTACTACATTTGCTAAGAGACTCCTTTCAGTCACAACTTATTACTCCTTTTTGAAGATCTGTCAAGACTGATTTGCACTTTCACCTATATTCCGTTTTGCTGGCAGCTTGACAAAGGGGGATGGGGGATGGAATGCAAGGGTGGGGGCAGTTGCATCTGAGCATTGTCCTCGTGAGAGAGTGCCCAACCCAAAAACACATTGAGCAGGGGGACTAACATGGCTCACTGGTTTCCCATAACACAATGAACAGAAGTGATTGGTAGACGTAATGAATTGTGGGTGGTCCACAGGGAAAGGGGGGGATTTACTATGCTAGCTTTTGTGCGGGAAACTCAGTGGGTTTCACTTCATCTGTGTCAATATGGTTCATTCAGTAAAGTTTATACTCTTGGTAAAATAAGATCCCATGAGTTTCTTTTTCTGGATCCGCCAACTGGACAGTTGACAATCTGCACCATTTTGGGGACATTGTTATTGTTGAACAATGTGGAGGAAAGCTAACAGAGGTGAATTAAAGTAAGGAAGCGTGGAGTATATTTTTCCTTTTTAATTTTGATGGAGAAACATAAAGATCTAAAAGCTGGTTTTATTTTGTAATTTTCATGAATTGGCCACCTTTATTTGATAAATACACAGAAGAACTATACAAGAACGAGCTTAACATCCCAGATAACCACGATGGGGTGGTCACTGACCTCGAGCCAGACATCCTAGAATGTGAAGTGAAATGGGCCTTAGGAAATCTGAGCAACAACAAAGCTAGTGGAGGTGACAGTATTCCAGCTGAGCTATTCAAAATCTTAAAAGACAATGCAGTAAAAGTACTACACTCAATATGCCAGCAAATTTGGAAAACTCAACAGTGGGCACAGGATTGGAAAAGGTCAGTTTACATTCCAATTCCAAAGAAAGGCAATGCCAAAGAATGTTCAAACTATCGCACCATTGCACTCATTTCACATGCTAGTAAAGTTATGCTTAAAATCCTACAAGCTAGACTCCAGAAGTATGTGGATCGAGAACTACCAGAAGTACAGGCAGGATTTTGAAGAGGCAGAGGAACTAGAGATCAAATTGCCAACATACGCTGGATCATGGAGAAAGCTAGGGAGTTCCAGAAAAACATCTACTTCTGCTTCATTGACTATGTTAAAGCCTTTGATTGTGTGGATCACAACAAATTGTGGCAAATTCTTAAAGAGATGGGAGTACCAGACCATCTTATTTGTCTCTTGAGAAACCTATATGCGGGTCAAGAAGCAATAGTGAGAACTGGACACGGAACCACTGATTGGTTCAAAATTGGGAAAGGAGTCCGGCAAGGCTGTATACTGTCGCCCTGCCTATTTAACTTATATGCAGAGCACATCATGAGAAAGGCAGGGCTAGATGAATCAAAAGTTGGAAGTAAGATTGCCGGGAGAAATATCAACAACCTAAGATATGCAGATGATACCACTCTAATGGCAGAAAGTGAAGAGGAACTAAAGAGCCTCTTGATGCGGGTGAAGGAGGAGAGTGCAAAAGTTGGCTTGAAACTCAACATTAAGAAAACCAAAATCATGGCATCCGGCCCTCTCAATTCCTGGCAAATAGATGGGGAAGAAATGGAGGTAGTGACAGATTTTATTTTCCTGGGCTCCAAGATCACCGCAGATGGGGACTGCAGCCAAGAAATTAAAAGACGCTTGCTCCTGGGGAGGAAAGCTTATGGCAAATCTAGACAGCATACTAAAAAGCAGAGACATCACCCTGCCAACAAAAATGTGTATAGTCAAGGCCATGGTTTTCCCAGTTGCAATGTATGGATGTGAAAGTTGGACCATAAGAAAGGCTGAGCGACAAAGAATTGAGGCCTTTGAACTATGGTGCTGGAGAAGACTCCTGCAAGTTCCTTGGACTGCAAGGCGTTCAAACCGTCAGTCCTAGAAGAGATCAACCTGACTGCTCTTTAGAAGGCCAGATCCTGAAGTTGAAACTCAAATACTTTGGCCACCTAATGAGAAAGAAGGACTCGTTGGAAAAGGGCCTAATGCTGGGAAAGATTGAGGGCAATAGAAGAATGGGACGACAGAGAATGAGGTGGCTGGATGGAGTCACTGAAGCAGTAGGCGTGAGCTTAAATGGACTCCAGAAGATGGTAGAGGACAGGAAGACCTGGAGGAATGTTGTCCATGGGGTCACGCTGGGTCGGACAGGACTTCGCAACTAACAACAACAACAATTTGATATTGGGAGTTATAATTTGCAATTTTGGATTGTTTGTTGTGGGAGGCTGAAATCATCTGATTTTTATGAATTCTGATTGGCAAGGAGTTATCAGCTGATCTATAGAAATCCTTTTGTTTGTTTGTTTTGACCACAAAAGGGAGCTAAAGAGAAGAATGTAAAGAAATACCAAAAGAATTTGAACCAGACAGAATGCAAAAATTATTTTGGAGAAGTACTTAAACAAAACAATTCACTTTATACATCAATTATGTTCCAAAATTATTACAAAACAGGAGCAAGAGAACAAATTATTCAAATAATTATTGGAAAAGAGATGAGTAATCCAGGGATGATAGAACATTATGAAACCACAGAGTATTTGACAATACAAACAAATTAACTGTAATTTTGAAATATCAATCTGATACCAACAGTGTAAAGATGATTTATACATCCCCCAACACAATTGAAAGAAGATGTCTAGGGCAGGGGTCTCTCTCTCTCTTTCCTCTCTCTCCCTCTTTCTCTCTTTCCTCTCTCTTTCTCCCTCTTTCTCTTTCCTCTCTCTCCCTCTTTCCTCTCCCTCTCCCTCCCTCCCTTTCTCTCTCTCCTCTCCCTCTTTCCCCTCCCTCTTTTTCTCTCTCTTTCTCTCCCTTTACTCTCCCTCTCCCTTTCTCTTTCTTTCCCTCTCTTTCTCTCTTTTTCTCTCCCTTTCCTCTCCCTCTTTCTTTTCCTCTTTCTCTCTCCCTTTTTTCTCTCCCTCTCTCTCCCTCTTTCTCTCTCTTTCTCCCTCTCTCTCTCTCTTTCTCCCTCCCTCTCCCTCTCTCCGATCTTCTGCTCACCTGGCAAGCTGGCTTCAAGCTGTTCTCCAACAAGCTGACACACATTCTTATTGGGCTGCCTCTCTCCTGCCCTTCCTACTTCCTGCAAAAACGCAGCCAAGGCAGGAGCCCCACCCAATAAGCTTGTCAGCTCATCGGAGAACAGGGTGAGACCACTCTCTTTTTTACACATACACATACACACACACACAGAGAGAGAGAGAGAGAGAGAGAGAGAAGGAAAGCGCAAGTGCCTCTCTCTGTCTCTTTCTCTCTCTCTGCAAATGGCAGAGGACGCTGGGAGCCGCAAGAGAAGGCTCAAAGAGCCGCATGCGGCTCCAGAGCTGCATGTTGCCGACCTGTGGACTAGGGTTTTAAAATGAATATAAAACAGTTTCTCCTTTAATGTTAAAGAATTTGAAAAAATATTAACAAAACCGTGAATTTTGTTAATATAGATTATGATAGCTTACAAAGATTAGTAAGTGTAAATAGAACTATAGATCATTTTCCACAACAGAGGAAAAAATGTTTTTGTAAACTGTTGATGTAACTGTTTTAAACAAAGATTTTGTCTGGATTTGTTTCTATTAGGATTATTACTTCTGGTTTTTAATGCCTGAAATACAAAATAAGTAAATAAATTAAATTTAGTTTGAAGATTTAGTAATTTTGTAGTTATACTACTGGCTTTCAATAATTATAGGTAATGTAAAAAGTTGAGGTTGTAAATGTATTAATATTTTGTTGTGTTGGAATGAGTCAGAAGTCAACACTTTGTTTCTCCCCTTTTTTCCTCATCTTGCATTTTTCCTTCCCTTTTATTTAATCTTTATTTTCATTGTATTATAAGCCTTAATATAACTATTAAAAAGAAAATCCTTTGCACTAAGGTTCCTAAACAGGATGTACAGCAAACTCACAGGAGTACTACAAGGTATTTTAAATTTTTGAGGAAAACACAACAATATTCAAAATAAGTTGGATACCACACAAGCTGTTATCTGGAGACAGTGCATAGTTATGATCTATGGGGTCTGTGAAAAAAATACTGAGACAGGATGTAGTGAACTGAAAGTTTGGGAACCTCTGCCCTAGAAGAGTTGATATAGAACATGGTTGCTAATCTTTTCGCTTGCCTGGGATGTAATGAGTGAAGAGGAATTCTGTTAGGCCATATATAAAAAATATAATATGGTTAATGTATATAAAATCACATAATACTAAAAGTTTAGGATCTGTGGGGCTGCATTACTAGATGTCCAGGTCTGCCTGCAGCCTGAAGGATGCAGCTTGGACACACCTGATATAGAAAGCAACAGCGTGTCAAATATTTAAGGTAGACCATGCTAAGAAATCAATGTGAATTAGGAAAGGTTTGTCTGAGACATTTACTTAGTGCCCAGGCCATTTTTATACCTGACTGTTGCCATGATAGCAGCTTTCTCTTTTCCTTCATGGCTATTCCCTCTATTCTCCACACCACATGACTAAATGCAGACACATCTCATGTTCTCCCTAACATCACTATTTCAGGGGTTGAATTCATTACCAATTGGTTTCTAGCAAATTCTACTGTAACCTTAAAGTGCTGTTGTCATTTTAAAATTCTACATGGTCAGGGATCTGAATAACTTTGAGACTGCCTACTCCCAGCAGTAGCTATCTGTTCAGTTAGATCTGAAGGAGGATTCCCATCAAGTACCTATATCTGAAAAAATATTACCATCAGGAGTCATAAACTGGGATATTCCCACTGTTACCCCACTCCTTTTGAACAGCACTAGGATAAGATCAGCACCAACAAAAAGAACTTTGATTTTTATTTTTTAACTTTGGTAGGAAAATTTCCCTTTTTAAATCATTTATTTTGGGGGGGGGGACTTTATCTCAACTTTTCTCTATGGTTATGATTTATCTGCATCTCTTGTCCCTGAAAAGAACAGTGTTTTTTTCAAAATGTCTCTAAAAGGAGATAAAACTTTCTGAGAAGCATTTGAAAAAAGAATGCTCTCCAACCTATAGGTTTTATTTGAAAATATAAATAAAAAAATTGATGGGTCAACAGTGGCTTTGAACCAAATCCAGCATGATATCCAAAAGCAGGAAATAACAGTTGGATTTGATTTGTAACTTGATGAATTTGAATACAATCTGTTGCTGCCAAATGTGAGAGAAAAAAGTATTTGGATTGAAAATTATAGATCTTCCAGAAAAGATTGAAAGGAATATGAATACAAGAAATTCTGAGATAAAGGAATTGATGAAGGATGAATTGGATTTTCTTGGCAAGATGAATGTTGTGTTTTTAAGGAGACTTTTTCAACAATGGATGCTGCAGAGATATTCACAACAGAGATTTATGAACTTTGGAAACGAGATGCAATTTTGGAGAAAGTTCCCAATTAAAATCCAAGGAAAGGTTTTATTATTAAGACTCAAATGATGGTATTTGATTCTGGACAGATCAGAGATAATGACTGGGGTATTTAAGATAGATAAGAAACTGCTGTAGACGCTCTACAAGTAAATTACAATAATAGATTGTTAACAGAGGGCATTGTTTAACTCAGGGGTCTCAAACCCCCAGTCAACAGCCCATTGTGAATCAGACCGAGCAAATGGCAGATGCGTGTGCTGCCATTGCCAATCTGTGGAGCCAGAAAGGTTGGGGCCATGATTTACCCTATTAACTATTTTTTTCTTCGTATATGCAATGTATACGGTCAAATTGGGTTGCAAATAGATGTAGAAGTTTATAAGTTTTGGATCTGTTGGAGGAAGCTATTGTTGTTGCAATACATCTGTCACTGTTCAACTAAGGGAAGATTTAAAAAACCCCACATAATTCCAGAAAGCCTTTGGAAAATGATAAGAGTTGTGAGATGTCCCTGTATAAGGGATAATTAGATAATTTTGGGATGTAATTCTTAAAGTATGATTTGTGTTTTATAATAAGTGTTATATTACAGTTATTTTAATCCATTTATGGAATTGGAATATGTGCTTAGGAGTGAGTTGTAATTTAATAGTTTAATACTGAAATACTTTCTCCAAAAATGCATTTGCTTTTAGAAGACTTCCTCAGAATTCCCTGGCTTTTCAATGTAGGCACTAGATTCCTGTACTGTTTATATAACACATTTATTCTTTCTGCTTTTCCTGAAGTATCAGATACTCCCTGTAAGGCACCCCATTGCCGGCAATGGGGAAAAAGTTCAGATACGTCGCACGACGTCATGTGACATCACAAGTTTGACATGTCTGCTCTAAGGAACTCCTCCTCCAAACTGTATTTGTCTCTTCCATTTCTGCCCATGACAGTCATCACAGCTTTGAATTTTAGTGAGACTATTTTGCCCCTAATTAAACTTCTTCTAGTGCTTCTTAATCAGAACTTATTTCAACCCTAAGAATAAACTGGAACTCCCAATGTTAACACATTCAAATGTGTTTTGTGCTATACAGAACTAGAAGGGAGCAATATAGTGTTATTCTTCAAAAACCATCCCTTCTGCAGTCAAACAGCTCAAAAATTTGGATGAGAATGGCTATCGAACTAATCTCATTTGGTTCTTTGGACCTTGATAATTTTATTTTTAATATATTTTAGGTCACACATATGGTTTAACAATTAATACCCTTTCCAAATCTGGTACCCCTGCTGCATTGCCATCAATTTAATCAATGTAATTTCTAACCAACAAGGGAGCTGCCCCAAACACCCAGAGGTCTATTATTCCAATCTTATCCTATAATTTTATGCTGATCTTTGAATACTCTGGTAATAAGTGTTTCAGATAGCTGCATTTCTTGCCTGCTTTTCCATTGTGATATTACAGCTCTCAAGTCAGTTTTACATGCTTAATTTTTAAAATGAATTCTATTGCAACTCCAATTATATTAAATCACTTTGCTTTTTAATCTGAAACACAAACATTATTTTGTGGAGGGAATATGCACTCTGCATATACAGACAAACTAGTAATGGCCCAGCAGTGCTGTACCGTATACAATGCAAATCTTAATGGTGACTTATTTCTCCTTAAACAGGTGCAGGAGAAACAGTTCAATTTGCAATTGATCAACCACAAAACAGGAAATTGCGCAAATGAATAGTTCCTTTCTCAACTAGTAACCCGCCCGCGACACTGAAAACAATTGTTATGCCCACGATCCATAAGATTTTTGTTGTTGTTGTTTTGTTTTAATATATACCCAGGGAAGTCTCAACCCGACGGCCTTCGCGGAAAAATAGACGCCGAACGTCGTCACCTCCTGTTTGGAGGACCCGTCACTCCTTCTCACCTGATGATATTAGTCGCGTAGGTAAGCAGCAACCCCGAGGCCTCCAAAAACGTTTCTCTAGAATTCTAGGAGAGGCCGCTTAGTGCTCGCGAGAGCACTGTCGTGGTAGATTCCACTATTGCCACCATCCCATTGCAATGGCATTTGCCTACTGTTAGTCGTCGCCAGAGGGAGAAAAGAAACTTCCTTTTTGAGGCGCGCCCGCCCGCACTCAATTCTAAATCTTGCTGACTGAGATTACCATGCGTCTAAATGGGGCGCCGACTATGGTGAATCAGAAAGGGACGGCGATGACGCCTTCATTCGTGAGACAGGACTGCTTCCCCGTCCCAGTGGTGAGCATGCGCAGAAGCTACATTGTCACCCCACCCCACCCAGCCTGCTGGACTTACCGAACCTTACGGATCGGGAAGTGGTTTCTTGAAGATTTGCCGTCGCTGGGCTACAGAAATCCGAGCTACCAAATGGCATTGATAGCAAAATAACCCTTCTTTGTTGTCAATTACTGTAGTAGATATGGTAACCCTCTAGCGCTTTCAAGCAAATTATTTTTGGTAATGCTAATGTCTTATGTCTGCCTGATATGTGTTGCAGAAGCCAGGCAGTAATTAGAAGATAAGAAAAGTCTCCTGTAATCTAGTGCTCATCCAGTTTTTGCAATTCAGATTTGGCAGTTTTAATCAAAAAAGCAGCATGGATCTTATCCTCCTTGTTCCCATTTTTTTTTCTTTTAAGAAAATAAGAAAAATGGTAAGGGAAATCAAGATGTTTTATAAATAGAAAACACTATCACCTGGATCCCTTTGATGAATGAAGACAAGGCAGTTATGAATTGCACCATAACAAGCCTCAACTGGATGCATCTGCACTGCAATTCTAAGCATGAATATTAATATTGATATAAAATGATAAATGATTTGTATTTTTATTTTTCTGTAAAGTTAAATCCTATTTACCTTTATGGGAGTTACTTCCTAGATCTGAAACATTGTATATCAGTTGAAAGTGAAACTTGAAAGGTCTGTCAAATTTATTATGGCTTAGCTCATTAATACAGTAAATCTGTTGCTCATGCAGTTGAATTTTGGTGATCTGGAATTAAAATCTGTCTACATTTTATTACCAATTACATTGAGATCCAAATAGCCCCTTGCAGTAATAAGTTTTATATGCTGAAGAGGAGACTTCTGTTTCTTAAAGAGTAGCATCATACTGTAGTCAGTGAGAAGACCTCTGAAAACAGGTTAGGTGTTAAACACAAAGAACATAGAATAATAAGGTTGGAAGGGATCTTGGGTGTCTTAGTCCAAACCCATTCTCAAGCAGGAGACCTATACCATTCCGGACAATAAAAAGTCTTTATGGACATATTTCAGCCCTTTACTCCTGAAGCAATTCATGGCTATTGTTCCCCCAAAAAGAGGAAACAGAAAGCTTAAGAGCCAATTGGGCTAAACTTCAGAGAATTATATAGTGCAAATCAGGGATATGAACAGAATTGCTTATTATGAAGTTGACAGTTGCAACATGTTTTTGAGATTGTTGCTGATCATCCATACAGTTTTCATTGCAACAATATCCTTCCTTTTTCTGGGACTTTTTAAAAAAATTCTGAGTCTGTTTTCCAGTCTTGATAATCTTTGATGGTGTCCCATAGAATCACTAATCAAGCCTACGCTGTTTGTTTCCAAGCTAAAGTGTATTACAGTATATATAACAAAACTATGGCATAGTTATTTTTCAGATTATTTTATTTATTTTTGTGAAAAGCAGTAAAATCCCAAAGTTTTGTTCTACTTCTAAAATTTTACAAGAAAGATAAAATAATAATTAAAACTTTTAAAGTTTGAGTTGAAAATTTCCATGCATATATTTTTGAGTTTAATACATTGATTGGATGTGTTGAATTTAGTATGATCAAAGAGCCATTTCTTGAAAATTTATGAATAATTTGACTCTGAAATATACACTTTTTATGAGAAGATCCTTACCTCTGTTGTCAAATTGCAATCATAAATTTTTCAATTAGGCTTGAAAATTAGAATGTAGAAACCATTTATTTCATTTTACTTAAATGTACATTATCATATGTTGCATGTTTAATAGATTAATACTTTTTTTACTGTCATAAGAAATGTAAACTTTACCCCTAGTGAAAGCTTGTAAATAATAATATTATTTTCCTCTTCTCCATAGGAATAAACTTTGAAGTAGTACAGTGATGATTCTCCAGCACTTGAGAACTGTATTCAGAGCTACAAGCCTCTGCCTTCCAAGTTCACAAGTACAGCAATATCTAGATATCAATAAAAGATGTCTGAATACTAGGTTAGTTCACAGTCAAAGAAGGGTTGTTGTCACAGGTATAGGATTAGTATGTCCTCTTGGTGTTGGAACCCAGTTGGTTTGGAATAATCTTCTCCAAGGAAATTGTGGGATTGTTGCCCTTAAAGGGGAAGAATATGCTTCTGTTCCTTGTAAAGTTGCTGCTTGCGTGCCAAAAGGGGTTGATGAAGGTCAGTTCCATGGAGAAAATTTTATAACAAAATCAGACAGCAAAGCTATGTCTTCTGCCACCATCATGGCCATAGGTGCTGCTGATCTAGCATTAAAAGATTCTGGTTGGTCTCCGCAATCTGACCAGGATAGTTTGAAAGCTGGTGTGGCTATAGGAATGGGAATGGTTCCACTGGAAGATATCTATGATACAGCTTTGACATTCAAAACAAAAGGCTACAACAAAGTCAGCCCTTTTTTTGTTCCAAAGATTTTGATCAATATGGCAGCAGGTCATATTAGTATCAAACATCAATTGAAAGGACCAAACCATGCTGTGTCCACTGCTTGTACCACTGGAGCACATGCCATCGGAGACTCTTTTCGATTTATAGTTCATGGTGATGCTGATGTGATGTTGGCGGGAGGAACAGAAGCTTGTATTAGCCCATTGGCTCTGGCTGGATTTGCCAGAGCTCGGGCTCTGAGCACTAGCTTTAACTCAAACCCTCAAAAAGCTTGTTGTCCATTCCATCCACTAAGAGAAGGATTTGTCATGGGAGAAGGTGCCGCAGTTTTGGTTTTGGAAGAATACATGCATGCTATTCAGAGAGGAGTCAAACCATATGCAGAAATTTTAGGCTATGGACTGTCAGCTGATGCCTGCCACATTACAGCACCTGATCCAAATGGAGATGGAGCTTCAAGGTAACAACTATTATCATAAATCATTGATATAATTTCCTAATGTAGGAATGGCTTTCTTTTGGCTGATCAGAGGTCTTTTATATGGGAGAATTAACTAGCTAATTGAGAAATCTGTTTGCTAACAAAGTGATACCAGATGTGTGTGTGTGTGTGTCCATGTGTGAAGAGCCTGCTGGCAAAGAGAATGGTGCACTGCCATGGTCAGTGAGCAGATACTGTGACTTGCTATTTACTCTATAAACAAAGTTACATTGCTGGGTTAGCCTTGGCTGCCATTTAACAGTCATTTGAACTAATCACCAGATGCAGCTGTGCATTTATTTTATTTGCTCAATGACAAATTCTGGTGACCACCCATCTTCCCAGGATAAAGCCAGATATGACATGGATACCTTCCTTTAAGGTGACTTCCTTTAAAATTATGTAAGTAGTACACTGGTAGAGAGCCTTTTTTGTGGTCACACTCTGATTGAAAAAAATGTTTTCCCATATAAACGTTAGGTTGGCATTAGTACGTTTATTACAAAGATGTCTTTTCATTTTCATTTGTTTTTGATGGTTGATGAATATTTTTATTCATTTATTTGCCTGCTTCTTGGGCTTTATATTATTGTTTCATTTACACTATTCTAAGTTTTTAGTTACATTTTCAAATGTATTATTATTCAAAATAATAGTTTCATTTTTAAAAAGGAATTGAGAAACAGCTGATCCAGTGTACTAGTTGTTAGCTTAATACCTGTTTTTCATAATTTGGTGAAAGAAAGTGTGAAATAGAGCTTTTATTTAGAAAGGATGTGAAACTGATATAGTTTTAAATTTGGATAATGCCATTTGAAATAGTATTGTGATTATTGGAGATAATCATGGGACAATCATGCTATCTCATTGTAAATAAGGAAATAATGATGAATTATGTGGTACCTACATAGGGGTTAGATCTGATGAATTCTGTTCCATAAAATGTTAAACTAATTTGCCTTACCCATTCTTAAAATAATGATGATTCCCCATTATGTAAAAAAGACTACATTTACAGCTATTAATTGATTCTGCTTGTTCAGCTCCATGATACATAACAGTTAAGGAGTGACATAGCATTTGATGAAATATTCTGCCAACTAGCACAAATGAAGGTTCAAAATAATTAAATTTATCAGCTCACTAGAACTTAATTTTCTAGTTTAATCAACCTGGCAATACATACTATATCATTTTTAAATTAAAATTACAGTATAGAAGAAAAGGATGTCTATTCATGTCTTAAAGAATTCAACATTTAATTGTGAAGTTCTTCATACTTCTTGGTTTAGGTGAGCATCTCCTCAGTGCAGGATTGCAATAGATGGGATCCCAGAAAAGCTCATTTATATATATATGACATTTTATATCCTTCCAGTGATGCACGTTTCCTTATTTTCAGGCACACAAATGGATATTTGATAAAGCTAATTTCTTCCTTTTTGTTCCAAAGGTGCATGTCTGCAGCAATCAAAGATTCTGGAATTTCTCCTGAAGATGTAACATATATCAATGCTCATGCCACCTCGACTCCACTAGGAGACGCTGCAGAGAATCAAGCTATCAAAGACCTTTTTAAAGGTCATGCCTATGCCCTTGCAGTCTCCTCAACTAAAGGAGCAACAGGTCATCTCTTGGGTGCTGCAGGTGCTATTGAGGCAGCTTTTACTGCTTTAGCTTGTTACCATGGAATTTTGCCACCTACTTTAAATCTGGATCGGACAGAGTTACCATTTGATCTCAATTATGTTCCACTAGTACCACAAGAATGGAAAAGTAAACAGCGGCTTATTGCTCTCAGTAACTCCTTTGGTTTTGGTGGAACTAATGCATCATTGTGTTTTGGTAATATTTAAGCTTATAATCTGTATATATTCTGGAACCTGGCAGTTATTGGGTTAAAGGCTGGGTTTGTTAATAGGTCAATGGGAGGAGTTTCAAAAGGGCATTGGGTGACTTCCTGGACACAAGCATGTTTTGGAAGGTCTTTGTCTGAAAAGAAGCATGGCCCATCAAATGTCACCCGACGAGCCTGTTGGCCATATTTCTGCCATACCTATCTCGTGGTAAAAAAGAATGGTTCTCTTTACTTGTTCTCTACATAACAGTCTCTGTTGGTCGTATCTACGTTCATTAGATAGACTAACTTTATATATAAAAAACAATACTTTAGTAAAGAAACACAATAGACAGACTGAACTAAATTTCTTCTGCATTTTAACTCAGAGTCAGAATAGTAAGAAAAAATGCTCAAAGTTCATATCAACTTTATAAAGCAAACAGCAATTTGATGTTAATTTTCCTCTGATCTGCATCAGACTAAAGAAAAGTAAAAGTTATAAAGTGCCTTGTGCTTGTTTGGATGCTTCTACTAAATTTGCCTTAGGATCTGTTTACAAGTCAACGTTTAAGTCAAAGAGATATTGTGCTGTCCACCTTAGGAAAAGCTTAGCCTTCTTCAGCCACTTTCAAAACAGTTGTTAATGTCGTTTGCATGTATCTCCGTTCAAGAGAAGAAAGTTGTGTATTTCTACAGCTCTGCTCTTTCTGTGGCTTTTCACGTTTGAAAGGATCAAAGCAGTTGTGCCATATCCACCCATCTACTCTCCTTCAAGACTTTAAGAGGTGAACTAAATCTGGCGTCCAAAGGCGTGCACAAGTTCTCCGATAAAGCGGGGAAGGACTACGTATTGTGGAAGCTCACGTTCCAGGCCGCCATCTAAGATGAAGTAATAACACCAAGCCAAATGCTTGGACACATGAAGGCATGGCTGGGACCAGCATCCGCACGATTAGTAGAGAATACTCAACTAGCCCACCTAGGCGACCCAGCCACCGCCCTTCTCAAGGCGTGGGAAAGACTCGAGCGGTATGGCGCGCACGAAATGACAGAGAGTTCGCTCTTGGATAGCATTTACACTTTCCCTAACATCAATATCAATGACCACACCCAGATGTTGGAATTCGCAGACACGCTCGCGATGTTACAGTCAGTTCGTGAGCAGCCCAACATGCCAAAACTCACCTGCCTCGATCAGTTCGAGAAGCAAAGGATTATAGTTAGAAAACTACCAAAGCAGTCAAGGGACGAATGGGCCATAATATCAGAAGCTCACAGAAGCCAGGACCCTGACACTCCACCCGCCTTTCCTGTACTGGCTCAATTTGTGACCAACCAAGCAAAACTACGCCGTAATGCTAGCAACTTCGAGCCAACAAAAGACTCGTCTCCAACGCCAAGACGGACCGGTCACAATTTCGGACCTCACAGAGGCCCTGTCCAAGCCACGAAGGACGGACCCATTGTTTCAGTGTATAAAACAGACATCACGCCTCACCCAAAGGAGATCTCCGATGAACGAACACCGAGGAGTTCTTATTCGAATCCTCATCCACCAAGAAAAGGCCTGACTTGTCCAATTCACAAGTCCTCACACTCCCTAAACGATTGCAGAGAATTTAGAAAAAAATCACTAGATGACCGAAGCCACGTGAGTCAGGTCGTGACTCAAAGACACTTGTACCAGGCTGATCAACGAAGACTGAACCAGAAGATAAAACCTCAAATTGTGTATTGTGTTTATGCATTGTTTGATGTAACACTTGCTTATTTTTCTTGCATATTTGTGCATGTTTATATTTACCTATTTAGTTACAAGTTAGTTAACATTGATTACTGTATGCTTAATGCTAGGTTTTTGATAGTTCAGTTAGTATTTCAGTTAGTTAGTAGTGGAAATTTAAATTTCCAAGCGGGGAGTATTCTGGAACCTGGCAGTTATTGGGTTAAAGGCTGGGTTTGTTAATAGGTCAATGGGAGGAGTTTCAAAAGGGCATTGGGTGACTTCCTGGACACAAGCATGTTTTGGAAGGTCTTTGTCTGAAAAGAAGCATGGCCCATCAGATGTCACCCGACGAGCCTGTTGGCCATATTTCTGCCATACCTATCTCGTGGTAAAAAAGAATGGTTCTCTTTACTTGTTCTCTACATAACAGTCTCTGTTGGTCGTATCTACGTTCATTAGATAGACTAACTTTATATATAAAAAACAATACTTTAGTAAAGAAACACAATAGACAGACTGAACTAAATTTCTTCTGCATTTTAACTCAGAGTCAGAATCGTATATGTAAATACCGTGCTCCATCCTCCATTTACCTACCGACCAAATATATGTATATATGTAAATCATTTGTCTGTTTCTTTTTTATTCACATCATTTTTACCAGTGCTTGCTTGTTCTTTAGAATGCTTTATTTCAGCTGAATTTCTGAGGACTGGAATCTCTTCATTAAAAGAATGCGAAAAGTTTTAAATTCAGAACATTTTGAATTCGTAATACCCCATGGGGTTGAAACAGTTGTTTAAAATTTGAAGTGAATACCTACTCTGAATAAAAAAGGACTTTCGGGTTATTGTATCCCATTTTTATTTTGCTTTGAAGTGTTAGTCACACAAAGCCATGTATCTAGGATAGGTGGCCAAGTAAAATTTATTAAATAAGTATGCCCCTTATTTCTTTAATCTAGTTTCTGTGCCACATTTATGCACACTAAAGAGAAAGATAGGTTAGGCAAGAGTGCTCTTCCATTTTTTAAATTCCCATTCTTTTGTCTACTTCCTATTCCCTTCCATTGTATAATATTTCGTAGGTAATTATTTTGTTCCTTTACTTGAGTAAATGAATGAGTGGTTGGTTCTGTGAAAAGCCCTGGAATTTGCTTTTCCAAGCAAACAAATTTAACTAGTGGAATTAAAACTTTTAAATACCTCCATTTGCTAGATATCAATATTTGGTGTGTTATTTATAATAGATAGTTTCATATTATAAAATATCTTAGCAACCCAACTTCATAGTAAGGGTAAAAGGAAATTTTTTAAACAAATGTAATATTGAAAATGCAGTGATAGAAACATATATCCATTAAATGTAAAATAATTTGAAATATTTAGTTTAAACAACAATAATAATACCTAGCATCCAGACTAATACAAAAAGTTAAAGATTGTATATTTTTATATTGCCATCTCTGAAAATAGCATTATTTGGTACACTTCACTACAGTTTATATCCAACTAAAGACACAAGTGGTGAAAATTTTTAACAAAAAACATTCTGCCTACCGACTATCTGACCCATGTTTCCATTTCTTCAATAGATCAAATATGGATAGCAGCCCATTTAAATAATTTTAAGGTACACATTTAAAATTGGGGAAGATATTGGATTAATGTGTTGTCACCTAAATCAAATCCCAACATCTTCAATCTCTAGAGTGAAATGTATGATATTGCAGAAAATAATTTCTAAGTGTGTAAAACTAAATAGCTGGGTTAAGAAGAGTTTACACAAGAACTTGTGTACATAGGGCTACTGTATAGTCTATTGACTGGCACTAGATTTAGTAACAGCAAGTTAAGGCAGAAGCTGCCCATTCTCTTTTGTTTCAGAAGCAGATTTAAATTTTTATTAAGCTTGATGCATCTGCTCTAAAAGCCTATGACAACCTTTGCACCTCTTTTTTTTAATGTGCCTTTGTACCTCTTTTTTTTTTTTTAATGTGCCTTTGACTCAGTTTTTCACTCCTGATGAGTGCTTGGCCTTGCCCCTGAAGTTTCTTAGCAAGGATTTAAAAAATGGTTTCTATTGTCTTCTCTTAGGGCTAAGAAAGAATAATTGGCCAAAGGTCACCCAGCTCGCTTGGTACCTAATAAGGGAGCAAACTCCTGGTTTCTGGCCCTGTGCCTTATTCATTACACCAGACTGGAACTCAGTTATTAAAACCTTCTAATAATTCAATTCTTTTCAGCAGGTAGCACAAGGAAAATGCTTGATAAGTATCTCAGAAATAAAATAAAGCAAGGGAAACTATGCAAAGAACATAAATGACAAACCATTAAAAACCCCAATAAAACCCAAATCAAGGCCCTTATAAAAATATTACTGTCCTCATATTGATTATATACACACATCAGAGGTCCAGTGAATTAACATCCTGGCCCCAAGGCCTGGGAACAGCCAGGTCTTCATATTTGGGGGCGGTGGGACAAAATGAGGGATCCAGTGGGGCAGGGGACAGTCTAAAGAGTCATATGACATATATTTATATTTACCATATGGAGTTTTTGAATTTGACTTGATAACCTATTGTAAATATAGAGCATTAAAAGATACATAACAGCTGTGATCAGCAAGACCTGGACATTCTGTATTATATCAGTGGTAGCTTCCAAATCATTTTTAGAGGCAGTCCAGTGTAGAGTGCATTACAGTAATATAAGTGAGTAGTGATAAGAGTGAGCAACTGTTTTTCTTGGCATTTGATCTGTGTTTGTTTCTACCCATCCAATCAGCATGGTCTTCAGGACTTAGGACTTCCACAACATGTATAACTCAGCCCTGGTTAACAATGTATAGAAGGATCTTCAGCAAATTGATGATATTTTCATCCCAAACTGATGGTATATCTCTCTCAGAAGCTTCATATAGATGTTAAAGAGGTAGTTTGAAGCATCCCACACTAGAGTACTCACCTGTCCAAGTTTTTTTTTCTAATTCTGACTAGAAACTACTTCTAAGGTAGGAGTGGAACTTAGAACCATTCCAAAACAGTACTTATAATTTTCAGCCCCATTTGTAGCCTCAGGTTTTTGCAAGTTGCTCTGACTGATGGTGTCAAAACCACTAAGAATTCTAAAGTATTAAGAAGGGTACAGTGCCATACCAAAGTGATTAATGCTGTTTCTTCTAAAGATAAGCCACCCTATTTTCCCCTCAACCTTTTCCCAGAAAGAAAAGTTGGAGACAGGGCAATAGTTATCCAGTGTAGCTGGATCAAGAGATGATTTCTTCATCTCATCCTCTCTTAAAGAAATATCTATCGTCTCTTGGATC